ATGTGTATTCTAGCGTGACAACATCATCACCAAAATGATGGGATTGTACTTCAACAATATCTGGAAATTCAGTTTCCTGTTATAAAGGAAACAAAGCTTCCAGGTATTGTTAAACTAAAACCCCACAACTTTGATGTTGGCTTAAAACCAACCTCTGTTTTAGCAGTTCATGCAGACATAAGAAAATATAGAACATTATTTAGATTATTTAGATTTAGATTATTTACAAAGAAAAGGTCTGCAGAAGGTGCTCCAGATATATAACTTAATCAAGAGTACTCATGAGTTGATTTCAGCTCTTATATTATTTCCGTGGGTTGTTTGAGGAACTCTAAAGCAGGGGTCCCCAACCCTTGGTCCGTGTACTGGTACCGGGCCATGGCATGCCAGAAACCGGTCCGTGCAAACAAGCAAAGCCACATCTGCGGGATGCAGGCAGCACACAAACCACACCCCCTCCGTCCGCAGAAAAACCTCTCTCCACGGAACCGGTCCCTCATGCCCAAAATGTTGGGGACCTCTGCTCTAAAGGGAAATAAATGAAAATAACTATTTTCTTCACAGAAATCTCTGATTTATTTGACTGTCTTTTATGAACAAAAATAGCTCCCCTTTTTGATGATGAGTTGGTTTGGTTCCAATTTACTATTTTATGTAGGCAGAAGATGACTGTAGGAGAAATCAATAAAGGACAATAAAATATCACATCACTTAAATGAGTCATTTAATTTAGTGAAGAAAATTGACGTGATATTGTAAGTTTCACCCTCAGTGAAAACAATATCTAGAGTGAAAATGACATCTGCTCTCAAAACTTTCATTTACCACAAAATAAACTAGGAAGCTTATAGGCCATCAATACTTTCAACTGTTCAAGATGTATTTATCACCCAATTTTATCTTCACCTTTTTTCTTCCTAGAACACAAGTATGGACTGCTATCACATAGCATTTTTATTTTGTGTTCTTAGAGGTCTTCTTGTAACGAAAGTTGATACTAGGAGTTGAAGGATGTCAACTTCCTATTTACTGATTTTTAATCAAAATTACTGATTTTTTTTAAAAGATCCAGTAGTTCTATTTTTTTTAAATTTTTTAGATTTTGTATTTATCTTTTGCATGTTGTATAAATGTTATGTATCTCTATGACCCTGTTGCTAGTTGATTTGTCTGAGTGCCAAGCTTCCAGGAATTCCCCAGCATTTTTTGGATTTATGTTAATTTAGGATGCTTAGTTTCCCAATTGAAACTAGGTTAAGTCTGTTCATTTGTTGTGAAATTAACGATTTTTCATTGAGTCTTCTGACTACTAGTTGTGTTCATGGATGTGCTCTGATAGTCTTCTGCCTGTTTGTCATACCTTGTGGTTGTTACACTCTTTACATTGTATGTTATACATGACTTCTGTTTTTTTTCTTCTTTTCTACTGCATGCATCCATTAACACCAAAATGAAATTTCTCAAGTTTGGACACATTCCATAAGTTAGCCCATTTGAAGTATCTTGGTTCAAAACTGTTGTCCTATGATGCACTATCAGGCAAGTTTTAGTAATATATAGATGACTTTGACACAGCTGTTTAACTTACCAGTGTTTGTTTGTTTTTCAGTGATAAGTGGCTATGAAACTTGTAATAGGTATGAAATAAAAAAATGCCACAGGGCAGTGGGTATACTTTGCAGCTGAAAAAAATGATGACTATAATCTGTACCATTATGGGCCTTTCAGATCATTTACCATAAAACTCTTTGATAATACAAATCAACCAGTCATACAATTGTCAAGGGAGTTCCATTGTGTCTGTTGCTGCTGTCCTTGTATTTGCTGCCTACAAAAGGTAAACTCAACCCCCCCCTGCCCATTTTAATGTACAATAACTTTCCCCAAGTCATCGTCTCCGTCTAGAACTCCACTATAAGAGCTACTATGATATAGCTGTTAATGCTCGATTGATTAAGGAGATTCAGGTTCATATTGGCCCAACGGGTATCAAATATAAGCTAAAAAATCCTTATGACCATTAGGGGAAAGCAAAGAGATTGAGAAAATGCAAACTCTTTGCTGTCATATAGTGGTCATTCAGATTTTTGCAACCCAAATATGCTAGTGTACATATGGATATTCATTCAGTGACTTTGAGCAAGTCAATCTCTTGTTGCTCCTGATTTACAGTAATACGAACACAAAAAGAAAACAAAAAACAGGGGCATAAAATCCAAAAAGAACATATTAAAAATCTTCTGTTCCCCATCAGCAGTTAATTCCCTTTTGATCATTCATTGCCTTGCTTTTCCATGTGCTTTCAACTCTAACTATAGTAAAAGATCCTGTTGACACATCTCAGTGCGAGACAAAATGCTGCTCTGTATTCTAATTCTAATTAATGTTTTTTCCCTTAAAGCTTGAGGTTCAAGCACCACTAGGCACTGTCATTGGATATGTTAAGCAGAAGTACCACATCTGCCTGCCCAGATTTGTTATCCAAAATGAGGCCAGAGAAAGCATTTTGAAATTGCATGACCTTGTTTATCATGCCATGGTTATAGGGATTTTCATTCTGAGGTAAAGTGAAACTCTAAACTCTGTCTTCATCTACCCTTCAGTATTGAAATATATTAAGTATTGATAAGCTTATGATTTTTCCAGTTCATAAGAGCAGAAGTAGGATTGCTGCCTACGGTTCTGTCTGTTGTTTCCCTTTTTCTTCTTTGCAGCCAAGGAACTTTATATGACCAATGTGAAGTCTTGGAGAAAAACATGATAATAATTTAGAAGACATATTGGGGGATTGTGCTCATAGCTTTATTGTTATTGTTTATTAAGCTGATGTGTATTTTGCATTTTTGACCAGGATGCCCTTAAAAGTATTTTTTTAGAATGGTGTCATAATTATTACAAAAGTATCTCACATTCCAGTACTGATCCAAAGGGACAAAAATATGTATTGTAAGTCAAAATATCATATTTAAGTCAGTGAGTGAGTTAAGTCAATCAGTGAAGCCGCACACAAACTTTTCTGATAAGGCAAAATTTGTACAACATTGCATGTAAGATTGCATTAGCTAATAATGAATTCATATTGCATTAGCTAATAATGAATTCATATTTACTTTTTTTAAAAAAATATTTTATTAGTTTTTTATGTTTACAATTAATTAGTGCTTAGTAAACAACGTGTTGTCTGGGTCCAAATGTTTAATTTAACAACGCATATTAAATTCCTAATCTCTATCCCATTTTTCCAGCCATTTGTAAAATACATCCCATATTTGAAAGTATTCTGTACCTTTTCCTTTCATTTTCAAAGTAAGCCTATCTATTTCCGCACAATCCAAAATTTTCTTGATTATCTCTTCGTCAGCTGGAATTTCTTCATTTTTCCAATGCTGTGTAAATACAATTCTCGCTGCTGTCAATACATGTAACATTAAATACACACATTCTTTGTCATATTTTTCTGAGAGTATACCTAAAAGCAATAACTCTGTCTTAAAGTCTACATGTTTTCTTAACATTTTCTCTAACAACCTACTGTATGTATTTTTGACCAAAATTCTTTTACTTTGCGGCATGTCCACCAAAGATGATAATAAGTGCCTGGTTTTTGCCTACATTTCCAACAATTTCTAGACATATTTTTAAACATTTTTGCTAACCTCACAAGTGGTAGGTACCATCTATAAAACATTTTATATAAATTTTCTTTATAAGCAGCTGCCATTGTTATTTTATAGTTTTTTACCCAAAAGTTTTGCCATCTTTCCAACTCTACATTGTGCCCAATTTATTTTGCACATGGTCATTTTTTTTACTTGTTCATCCTCCATCTTTAAACTTAACAGAAAGTTATACAATTTCTTAATTAATTTTTCATCTGATGTCAATAGTATCCGGTCAAACGCTGTCTGGTCTTTATAAAACCCATGTATTTTAGCATCTTTCTCATATCTCATTTGTATTTGCAAATGCAGCCACCATGATAAGTCAATGCCCTGTTCTTCAAACTCTTGTTTAGATTTTAATTTCCCTTCAATATTCAAAATATCTTTATACGTCACAATTTTCTTATAGTTCTTATAGTTTGGGTAAACAAACGCTTCCATTGTTGAAAGCCATCCTGGTATTTTCATATAGATTTTCGCTTTTATCTTTTCCCATTCTAAAAGAAGTGCCTTTCTTACATAGTGGTTTTGGAAGTATTTATGACAGCTGAAAAAAAGCTGTCCATCTACTTCTAAATATTCTACTCTATGTTATAATTCTCTGACACTGTTGCAACTTCAGTAATGATGTTTCTATTTCATAGCTAATAAACAAGCCTAAAAATTAGCTGCCCAACACTTTCAACAACCACTGATCATTTTAATTGTTTCATTAGCTTACTTTGCTCTTTCTACATTAAACAATTCGATGCTGCCAAGAAAAGTTCTTATTCCATTTCCCCATTTCCTGTCACAACCATGGGGCGAATTAGACTGGCGCCATGCCCATTGGCTTATTAGGCAACTAAATGAACGTTTGATTCTTCTCAGAATTGTCAGTCAATACCTTTTTGAGTACCAACAAGTTCCGCAGGCACACCTGACGTCTTAAGTAAAAATAAATTGAATAAACTAAACAAATTCATTTATAATGAAGGGAAAAAAATGGGAAGAGTCTGTGCTACCAGAATGCACCTGCCTCGGACTGAATTTCAGGCAATTCTTCATTTCTTGTTCCAAGATTCACCATCGACAAAAGAAATTAAAAAAAAAACACCACTTGGGCTAGTGGAGCAAACAGAGTGGAGGAAACGTACAATGGATGCTTTGTTATTACTTAATCAATGGCAAAGACCTATGGACCAAGCCTACGGATTTAGGTTGTTGATCTCACAGCGATGAACACAACGGGCTTGGTCCTGTGACGTAGGCACGAGACTTAAGTCATTTCCAAACAACCGCAGCCCGCAACCCTCTCTGCCTTATCTCTCCGTCATTTGAATGCTGGCAATTAAGCAGCGAGTTCCACCGATGTGCCATTAACTACAACATTCTCAGGCGAATGCGACTTCCTGAGTCGAGAAATATTTTCCTTAAACTGGAGGGCCTCCTTCGGGTCTCTTGCTCCCTCCCATATCTAGCTGCATTTGCTCTTTACCGCCTTCCCGCCCTATCCTGTTCCCTAGCAGGGCCCCTGGAGCTGGGCGGGAGGAGGCAGAAGAGCAGTCGCAAAGCTCCCGTTTTTTCTCACAAACAAACAAAACACATACCGATCAGCTAACGGCAACGGGGCTGGAAGTATCTTTTTGCAAAGGCGATTCCGACGCGCTTACTCTAGAGTAACTCCCCTGGCAAGGACGTAAAATGTAAGTTGTCATTTCTTCTCGAAACACAGGGATAGAGGGATTTGCCAGGCGCAGGGTTTGCTCCACTATTTGCTTTGATTGGCAACACTCTTGCAAAGAAACGGAAGAATAGTAAACAGGAAACGCCCACGGATTCGTTGCGGTCTTCCAAGGTATAAACTGAGTCCTTCAGGTCTATTAAGCGGGACGAGGGACGATTTGACTCCGCTCCCTCCTTGCCGAGGGAGTTGTCCTATTATTCTTGTATTTCCACCTCTGGAAAAGTTGTTCTTGTCACCTGCCTATTTCTTTTCCTCCACCCAGTTTGTCCAGCACCGCCCTGTTTCTTTATCAATAACCAGAGGGAAGCCCTGAAGTCAGAATTCTATCTCTTGTAGAATCAAAATGATAAGGCGTTGTTGGTAGTATCTGGTTGGGGGACCTTATTAAAGATATTTTGTTCTTATTGTCACCGTTATTATTTTATGCTCCATTTCTATGATGAAATTTATTCCTGTGAAAATGTGCCTTGAAGCTCCCTTTGTGCTGTTTGGAAAATACAGTAGGAGAGGTTTTCTGATTGAAAGGAATCAAAATTCCAATTAGTAAACAGCCCAACCAAAGAATCCCAGACTGTTCCCACCAACCCACCCACCCAGACAGGCAAGACACTGGACTAGACTATAAACAGACAGCAAATAGCACTCCTTACTAGCACTGATGATATTCTCTAGTTATGGTAATGAAATGTCTGCAAGAAAACAAGGAAGCTCAGAGAGCACCAAGGACCCCCCTTAAAATTCCAAATTAAACATGCTGAAAGCATTTGTTTCCCAGACCTAGGAAACTATGGTTGCTTTGTATACAGCAACAGGTGAAGCATGTGGACACAATTTTATAACAAAGAACAGTGTAGAAGATAAATGCTAAGCTGTTTGCAGGTTTATTATTATACACTACAGCTATTTTTAACAGGGATCCTATTTTGGTAAATATAAAGTGTAAACTTGCTGAGATATTCCACTGGCTTGAAAAAAGAAAGCCTTTTCAGTGCTAAACAATTGAGAAATCGCTTCTATGCAATCTGAATTCACATACCTGGGAAAAATTGTAGCGGTGGTTTGTCCTGCAGTCTCAGACCAGGAGGGAGAGCAGGAGGTCCTGAGCTAGCCAAGGTCTAAAGAAGGTAAGCTGTATAGTATATTGTGCACTTTATGAATTGTGGGTCTGCTATTTATTATAATGTGTATTGTATGTTCTATTTTTACCAAATTTGGAATATATGCTGCTCTGAGCCCAGCTGTACATTTCCACCCCAGGCCACCCCAACGATGCCCTTGACGTGATGACCCGTTGCCTGGAGGCCGTACGGGTCTGGATGGGGAGGAACAGACTCAGGCTCAACCCTTCCAAGACTGAGTGGCTGTGGCTGCCGGCGCCTCGGCATAGTCAGCTGACCCCATCGCTGACTATAGGGGGCGAAATTTTGGCCCCCT